GGTATTTTACTCACCATCACCTTGCACCACACTGAACTACCCAAAATATATTATTCTGCCTCTGTGGGCTGTGCGAGGGGGAGACAGGCTGTCTGTCGAGGTGAGACTGGCTCTCAATGCTGATGGGGCTGCCTAGCTAGGCAAATTAGGCAATGGTTTGCTGTAGTGTTGCTTTCAAAATTTATTACCTTTACATTAAAAAAAAAAGACTACTAGGAAGTGCTTTCTCTGCTGTATTACAGTATCTGCTTTTCCGTAGTTCTGTTGCATTAAGAGTAGTTGAACATCTTCTGGTCACCCCCTCTGCCTGCTTTCTGTAGGGTGAGTTGTTGGGTGCGGAACAAGTCAGGGCGGATTGAGGAAGAAGTAAAAGCATCCCCTTCCTCGTCTGCTAGGTCACTTTGGCTTTTATGATCAGACCCTTATATTGCCACTTCTTCTCTTTTGACTTGGTTTTAGTCAGCAGTACAGTCTGTCATTTAAACAAACAAAAAAGCCCAACAGAACTCCAAAGGCACAGAAATCCCCAAGACTGACCCAGGAAGCAACAAAGTTGTTTTTAAGGAAACCTTTGCAGCATAAATTACCTGTCTGAGGGGTCCAAATGTTGGTGGGAAAGAGCATGAATTGCAGAATAATCTAGGCTGAAAGGGACCTCTGGAGGCAGTCTTGTCCAGCCCTCTGCTTGCAGCAGGCCCCCACAGCTTGGGTTGCTCAGGGCCATATTCATGTGAGTTTTGGTTATATGCAAGGATGGAGATTATGCGGCCTTTGTGGACAGCCTATTCTGGTACTTAGCCACTTTAAAGAACAAAACCAAACCTTACCTAACTTTTTCTCTCCCTGCATTGCCACAAGTTTGCCTTTAGTCTTGATCATTTCAGAAGAGTCTGTCCCTCTCTTCTCTGTCTTCCCGGTAGATAGCTGCAAACAGCAATAAGATCTCTGAGTTTGCTTCGATCTGAAATGTGGTTAATACCAACTGCATTGCCTAGGGAAGGACCCTCAGTATTTGGTGCCTGGCTCTTTACCAGGCACAAGCAAAAGAAACTAACAGTCTTTAGTTCACCGATCGATCCAGTCCACTGATTCAGTTTGAACTTGCTGATTGAACTGTGTGTTGCGGAGTGCAAATATCTCTGGTTCCCGCAGACTGCTGCCTGCTGAAGCTCCCTGAAACCTCAGGGGTGGTTCTCCAACAGGGAATTGGGCTGGAAACGATGCAGAGTGCGGCTCTGACCAGGGACGGGTGCTCGCGATTGTGCGTGCCTATCTGAATTCATATTCTCACTTCAGTGACTTCTGTGTTCAAACAAAACCAAAAGGAAGTTTGCCATTTTAAATGGTGTATTGTGTAGATTGGTGTTGACTATGCCTTAACTCTAATGGTTTTTAATATCAGTAGTGATTTGTTTTAAAGAGGGGGAAAAAAAATATTCCCATCTTTTTAATGCTTCATTTCCAGTAAGATGTTCTTTGTGTACCACCTGCGTGACTGGCATTGTACAGGCAAGATACTGGCATAAATGCTTTCTCTGTTAAAAGTGAGAATGCAAGTCATGCATACAGGGCATTAAGTATTAATTTTTGGGATTTTCCTTCCTGAGAGTCTTTGAGCAATGATGTAAACTTGCCCTTGCAACAGTTACCACAAACGAAAGTTGAAAGTAAGGCTCTTTTCAAATTTTGAAGTATTTGTAGCCCATTTCTAGCTTTTTTTTTCCTCTTGTGACAGTCTTGCAGTAGTAAAAGACAGTGCTGGATTAGTGGCCCCAGAGGTTTCTTTTTTGAAAAGGTAGAATATTCTTAAGCAGTCAGATAAATATTTGCTCTGTTGATGCAGGTTCTTTCATAAACTCTTCACCAGTGAGAACTTATGGTGCAGAAGTAACATGCAGTTTGTGTACTGATTTTTCTGTATCTGTTCCTAGCCTCCAGCATCCATGCTTCCTCTTGCTTCTAAACAAGCAACAGAGCTATACTGAATTTATGCTTGTGTTAACAGCCTAGAAGTAAGTCTAGAGTATCCCGCTAGGTTTGTCCATTCAGCAATTGCAGGTCTCTGTTTTCTTTTTTTTGTTCTGCAGCTGCAACTCTGATGTTCTGGAAATGGTTGAAATCAAGTATCCAGAGAGAATTTATAGAGGATGCCCTGGGCTTCTGTAAAAACCTAATGGCAGGCAGCTTAGAAGGGCGTTCTTTCAGAAGCTGTAAATCAGGCTGTTAGGTCTCCTGAAAGGTGCTTGGGTTTTTAGTTTTGGGGACCTTGGGGGCCAAATAAATATATAAGCTTTGTTAATGTTGCTTTATCAGGTGAGATGGTACGTAGAAATCATCTAACAAGTCCAGTAACTTTTTAGTGTATAAAAGACTTGATTTTCATTGGAAAACTGAAAATACTTCCATGCAGTTTTCCATAAAGACTTTAAATTTTTATTATTTTTTTAAAGCATTAATGACTTCAGGATTCCTGCGGCTCATGTCCCTGTCAAACATGTCCAGCTGATGCATTTCACTTTAATGTTCAAAGCCTGTTATTTTGGGACTGTATGATAAATATAGAAGCATGCCTGTATCTTTGTAACCTTGGGGAGCTTTCCCCTCTCCTAACTCATCCTTTAAACTGCCAAGTGCCTAGTATTTTTTGCTAATGAAGCTGTCTGTGGTATTTGTGTGGCTTCCTTGGCCCCTTTTATTTTCACACCTATTTCCTTTCATGATCAAGCCCCATGTAGCTATAGCCGGTCAACTGTACCTTGCCTTGACCAGCTGCCATTGCTTCTGCTGGCCTCCTGCCTCGACACCGGCCACCCTGGTCCCAGCTGCATCCTGCTGCGAGACAGCAGCCTGGCAGCAGGGATCGGATGTTCCTAAATACTGTGGTGCTCGGTGCAAAGGTCATCCGGTTTGGTGGTTTATCGGTAGAAGGTGCATGAAAACAGGATAATTCCCTGTCGCTGTGGGACACTGAGGGTCAAAGGATGTTTCACTTCAAACACTGGATATCAATTATGGATATAATTGGCGTGTCTTCAAAACTTGTTTTAAAATAACTGGTGTATTTTATTATGGGAGGAAAACGTATGAGTGGATTACATCCAGTTGTATAATGCGATCACCTCCTGGTCTCCAGTGTATCTTGCTAATGTAATAGCAACAGGGGTTTCCCATCTGCTTTTGCAATAGATTCACTGAAGGATGGTCTCTGAGCCTGCTGAGAAGCTATTACATCTGTTGGTATTCCCAGGTCCGTTCTCAACTTAGTAGCAGTACAGATTTGGCTTTGTGCCGCTGCTATGCATAAGCTCATCCGCACAGCTTTCATTCTGGCTTCTGATTTACTACAGGATTTCTGGCTGATGCTGGTTAGAACAGTTTTTAACTGAGTCTTCCTGATGTATTCTGTGAGCCTAGCTCTTCCTTGGTGTGAGGGGGGTGAGAGCAGCAGAAAGCTTTGGCTGCTCGCCTGGCTGGGTTGGTAAAGATGTCTCTAGCCATGACTGGTACTGCAAGTGGCTTGGAGGTGACTGGCCCTAACCTGTCACTTTGTGCACAGCTGCGTTTCTGCTGCATCCGTCACACGTAGCTGTAAAATGCTCCAGGGTCATTAGGAGCGTGCTTGTAAAAACCTCTGTATTTAAATTGTCAGCAGTTGAAATTTCAGTAAGTAGATTTATGTTGCTGACGGGGTTTATTCCCCTGTGTTCTCCTTGAGTACGTACTTCTCTTTTCTAAATAAAATACATCTTAATCTTCCAGTTACTTTATAATGATCTTGTTGCCACTATGTTCTCTTGATCGTAGAGAACAAGGGGCTGGAGGTGAGCTGTCCACTAGTGTACCTTCTCTTGAATTAAAACTATTTTTTCACTCTGAACGTGAAGACAGTGAGGTGTGTTCTTTGGGTTAGCTTTTTGGGGATACAGGTTGGTTAGTCTTCGCACTATGCCATAAAGATAAGTCTGGTTGGGTTTTTCTGTGATGTGTGGTAGGATTTTTTTTTTTTTTTCTTTTTGTACCTCATTTATTCTCTGGTTATTACCTGTCAACTTCATTTACCATCTGGGGAAACAGATCTGTGGATGCAGAGTGGGGGTCCCAGGGAGCAAAACCAGCATTGACTACCAGCTTGTCAACAAAAGGATCAAACGTCCATCTTCATCTTGCAGTTGTCTGGAACAAAGATTAAATCACAGATCATCCTAAGGCGACAGGGGAGCCTTTACCAAGTGGGTCCTTCCATTAGCTTACAAATTATTTCTTTGTCTTTGTGTTTCATGCATCCCTTATTGACAGTATTTTCTGGTTGGATTTTATCTAGGCTGGCTGAGTAATTCTGAGTATTTCTGAATCTCAGATCTCTTATGATTGCTCATTTTTACCTTTATTTTTGGTTTTGTGAAATGTAGAAAATGCTTGCAAAAGACACGTAGCTGGCTTCTTTGTGCATGTCATCTGAATTTTTGTTGTAAAGTCTGCAGAGTATGGAGGAGATAAGCAAACAATGCTCATTGCACTGCTTAGAATTACTGGGCAAATTGCAGCTGTAAAACACTATGGCAAACATCACTGTTTCAGCTCAGTTATGTCATATGTTTTGAGCAGTCATTATTTGCCAGCAATGGTGTATCTACTCAGTTCTGCCCTTAGGCAGGTGAAATGTATTTGGTGTGCCCTAGTGTTTAGCCTCTTGTGCAACTCAGGGTTTGCACACCAGAGGTGTGAATAAGATGAGGAAGAAAAAACGTGATATGGAGTGTTCTGTCACTTCAGGCAGATACCAGATTTTATAAATTCATTGGTAGTTTTGATGTGCTCAGGGCCTCTCTTCCTCTGCAGGAAACTGATAGTAACAATTCACTGCAAAATGTTTGTGATGCATATATGCTTGTAAGGCTCATGCATTGTACCTTGGATGTTATTTAAAACTAGAAAGTTAGGCACAGGAGTAGCAAATCAG